ATACCAAAATAAACATTAATAACACTAGTTTACAAATAATAACTTGTTCTTTTATCACGTTACAGTTTTTTGTTACGAACGATAATTTTTCCGCTTTCTGCACAAATGCCTCCGATTTAAAACTTATAGGTGTAAAATTCAAATTCTTGCTGAATTATTGCAAAATTATCATCAGATGGGTCTAAATAGGTATTAAAATAGATTTCATTGGTTCGCAACTTAGGCAGCAGAGTGAAGGACAGGGCGAGCATTTTCATCAAGATCTGAAGAGTTTTCAAAGATCGACACAAAGGTTTTTGGGATGAAAATATGTAGGAGATTACCGCTGGGCTGTTTAAGATTGTTTAAGATATCTGGTGAAAACAAAAAAAAAATCTCGCAATTTTTGTTTAATTTACTAGTATTTTGGTAACAGAAGCATGTTTTTTTTTTCTTAAAGAACAATTTAGTACGTGAGAATATAGCTATAGAAAAACCTAGGCTTTATTTTATATAAATAATATAGAAACAAAGTGATGATAATAGAAGTTATTTTTGTGAGAAGGATTTTATCGTAATTCTAAATACCGTTAAAGATTTGAAATATTTGGCAGAAAATTGAATGAAATACTTAGACCTACCGAAGCCATTTTTTTATTATCTTTTGAAATTTGATTTACTTTGATTTTCGATATCAGAAAGTTAAATATACTAAATAAAACTTCTTTCAGTAAAGAGCAGTTTTCAATACGAAGCCAAAGAAAAACGAAAAGAACTTAATAATGTTTATTGAATATAACACAACTCAAGATTGAATAAAGTGGAGGTTGTTAAAATCAAAGTTTCGGAAAATATTCCGTACGTTTCGTAAGAATTGTTTTTGATAAGGTCTTAGTTTAGTCATTTGCACATTTTTTACTACTCTTTGCACGCAGCACGTTTTTTAAAACCACTTGAAACGCCATAAGTCCCGAACAGTATTTTCCTCACGTCTGTTAAATTTTCTTCTAACACTGGGGCAGTTCCCCTCATTTCAAAAGGGAAATGTGAGTTATCACAAAGAAATAAGATCCTTGAATTGCAAAAATTGTATTACGGTAAATAATAGAAACTTTTAAATAATAACGGATAATCTACAGAATTTAGTTAGAAGATATTAGCTTATAAATGGATAGGTATTTGCTTGTAGGATGCTGCGAATGTTAACACTTTAGCTCTCAAACACACAACGGATATACATGATGTGCCTTCAGGGCTTTTGAAACTCGTTAGCAGCTCGGCAATGTATCAAATTTTTTTCAACGGCTTCTACTGTAAATTCTAATTTAGTACATGAATGTCTTAGAGAGTAGGTACTTATTTTTTCCGAAACCATAATTTAACATACTAAAGCTTCTTTTAACGAACAAGTGAAAAATCTGATTAAAAAAGGTTGTCCATTTCCGACATTAACACTAACACTTCTAATAGCATCTTCCCCGGAAATAAATTTGATGTGGGTTGGAATTTCAATTTCTCGAGGATTTTTCGAAGGAGTGTAATCGTTCTCGTCCATAATTGGAATCACGTTTACCAACGCCGAGCTTAAAAAACCAATTGGACATAATTGGCGCGAAGGCTCCGGATGGTAATAAATTCCCGACGCATCTTCTAAAGTTCGATATGAAACTGCTAATAATCTGTTAATAGTTCTGAAGGAAGCTGTAGTAAAGTCACCAGTTAAGCTCGTGTCCGAAAATAACGAGAAAACTTTCCGAAATGAATCAAAGCTAAAAGCTCGAGTTTAGGCGACGGCAGAAATTATTCAGCATCCAAGCTCAGCCAATCAATAGTCAATATATTTCGTCACTGGTGACGTCATTAGGGATGCTATCACATGTCGAGTTTCTCTATACGACTTTGAAAGGACTTGAAGTGATAATAATAATAATGTCACTAAGTGGTTGGCGGAACTCCCCCAAACCGGATGCAAATGTCTCGTCTCGGGAGAGTTGCAACGTTTGAGGAGTGTTGCAAACGCCGTTTTGAGGTTATGTTGAGGCGTCGCGACGCTCTACAAGTTGCACATACAGGCCTGACACGGTTCGGGTGATTGGAGGCGGCGACTTTGCACCAGACTGTACTTGAACCTGAGTGAAGCTGGTTACTATGACAACGCGTAGACGGTTTCCAGTCGATAGTGGGACAACACGAGGCTACGTGGACGACGCTTTCTACGATATACCCCCAAGTGGGGGTCATTCGGCACAAATTACTCTTCCTCGCAATTTTTAACTCGGAGGTTAAATTCCGATGGAATTCTGTTTTTGCGGCTAAGCAGTGGGTTTTTTATTAGACGATGAAGATAAATTCAAGATTATTTATAACCCGACTTTGTCAGATTCAAACTACGACAGTCATATTTTTCAAAAAGGGTTGATGGACGTGATGTTTGCATGGTTCGGGTTAAGAGCTTTTTTCTTAGCTAACAAGTGGAGGTCAATTTGTACAATCTAATGATGTTGGAAAGAAAAACAGAGCAAGTAGTTGGACAAAGTAGTGTATAGTTAAATTTTAAGAATCGCTTTGAAAACTTTACTAATTTAGAGTGATTAAAGAACAACAAGAAAATCAAAGAAAGGCGACTCTGTCATCATTATCTATACTTTTTCACATTATTTACTCCTACCCGAAGCTCTTGTAAATAAATTGCGTAATTTTACAGATCCAGATATTTATGCTAATTGTAAAAAAGAAAACAAATTCGCGAAGACTTGAAAAATCGTGTTAACTCGTCGAACGAGTAGCTGAAATTGCGAATAATGTAGATACCGTGATAAAAGGTACTCTATAACCGAATCTTCTATGCCCCCAGGCGTATGTATTTTAACTCTAACTCAATCACTTTCTTCGTTTATTGTTCCCTCTGAAGTTCCCAAGACAGCATTTTCTTATAAACGACATACTTTTCAAATTGTTTTTGTAGTAGAATTCGAGACAATTAGCAAAAAAACGAAAGATAGACCTATCATATGCAGATTTTTATGCGAGAGTTTCGATTAAACTTTTGACGGGGCGTTGCGTTTGTTGAGCTGATTTTATAATGTAGTTACGAACTTCCGGCGCACTTTTTTAAGTTACAAAGACATGAAAATGATTCGTTTACATTCAGAGAGAGGAATTGCGAACTCGAATAACATTTTTGTGCGGGTTGGATGTGGCAGAAAATAGAAAAATCAACCCTCATCTTGAAATTTCCTTTCTAAATTTGAAATTTAGTCGTATCAATGTCGCTTATTCAATTTGTTCGGATCATATTAGATTAGGACGTCTCCACGCTTCCTCTTTTAGTAGTGTTTAACGCTTCGTTTGAATGCATTTTGTGGGTGTACTAAATAATCCTTTTGTTCCAGGATTGATTGCATCTTGATGGACGTAGCAGATTAGCACTCGGGGGTTAACCCAGCCATCAAACTAACTCAATCGAACTGTTCACCCTTCGTATGGTTCACTTCTTGAAACTGACGCCTCGAGCTGTTTATTATCTTTCAATTATTGAATTACACAGTTGAGTTGAGGACTGTATTGCGGGATAGCTGATAGAAATAGACAGACGGATGAGAGATAGATCACGACAGCACAGCATCGAAAAGGATAAAAGACACCATCAAGGTTACGCTCCTGTCTCACACAAAAGAAAACCGACTGGTAGAAGGAGAAGGAAATATTGGATTTCCTTAATCACGGAGCCCATTGTCTTGGGATATATAGTTGGAAACTACCCCCGGTCTGCACCCCTTCAGCTATCGTAGATAATTATAATATCAGGGGTATTGTGCGCGGACTACAGTTATCGTTTTGTTTAGCGGTGTAGTCTCGCATTGTTCTTCTAATTAGAAAATGGATACGTGGGGTTTACCATAAATTTGTAAAACAGTTCTCAATAAAATATGTGCGTGAATTTGTTTTTTTTTTCTTTCCCTGACAAAAATGAAGGATTTTTCTTTAATCTTGAAAATACAAAAGCTGGAATATCCACGTAGAGTTGGAGCATCGAGCGTGAAACTAGGAAATGATGACGCACTTCTCGTGGAAAATATAAAATGCCATCACAAAGCAAAGCAGCTGAATGCCATTAATTCTTTTTACTCCAAGCGCAGTTTTAATTAATTTCAATATCTCGGTACACCAAGAAATACACGTAAATGCCACAAACCACAGTAAACAACAAAATTCGGATTCATTCAGAATTTAATTACTTACACTTTTTGTAAGTGCAAAATTTCGTAATGTGGCATTTTCCACACATCAAACAGTCTTCCTTTAACTGAGAGCATAATTTATCGGCGCTAGATCTCGATTGTGACTGTCGTTTTGTCGTTTTTTTTAATATCCTGGCCTGTCACCACTACCCCTCGATCCAACATCCAAACAATGCATGATTTTTGGCGCGGCCACAGCAATCAATTCTTAAATCTGCTTGAAGTGTCTTATACTCTCACGAAGGGACGGAAAACTAATAATGATTCCGAGACCACGGACTGTTTGCAGTGGATAGGAGGACTGCATGAAATAATAAAATTGCGATCATAAAAATAAGTCGTTCCGACTCTAATATACAAACATAACACGTGTTCGGCATCGTCCCAGCCTCGCGTGTAAACCTATCGATCCACCCAAATATATTCCTAGGTATTGGATGGCTATGTAAGCATAATAAGAAGAACAAATGTGACCGGAGCCCTTTAGATTGCTTATTCTACGATATTAGGTCGGCGACGACGCCGTCAATAAGTGCACTGTGTATACCGACTTTCGTTTTTTAATCATTTCCACCAGCGCCCTGGGGACGCTTTTCCCAGTCTTCAAAATTTAAAATAGGAAAGCATCTTTGACAATTTTTCTTCAAAATGTTACAGATTAAATCCTAAACAAAACGTTCAGTGAAAAAAGGTTATTTTCTTTATGAAAGAGACTAATAATTAACCTAAAAAATAGTAACAGAGATATGGATCCAATTCTTGTGAAAATAAAGCACAAGATTATTTAAAAATAATTCAATTAATATTTACCGAAAATATTAAATTACAGAAACAATCTTACAATTACAAGTTCAAGTATTTTGTTAATAGTTAATTGCAAGAAGTAATTTCATAGTTGATATCAAAAGCATGTACTAAAGTGAGAAGAGGCGCCTCTGTGAATGAAGTTTGTGACACAAAATGAATAAGAAATGGTCCAGGTCCGTAAGCTGAAAATCAGACTAAAACATTCCCAAATCACAAGAGTAACAACTTACAGTAAAAAATTTGTGGAGTTTGCGGTATTGTTTCAAGTCTGGAACAGACTTTCGAATCATAATTAGTAACATCAGTCGTTCCAGTTACTAGTTCTGGAATAAATAAATAGTCTATACAAAATCCAGGGTCAGCAGTCGCGAGACTTTGACGTAAAGTTATATAATTTGTAGTAAACCTAGAAAATGAAGTTTTACCGGAACGAATTACAACAGAAACTTTGTACCTAATGCAATTAACTCGTGGATTTATTTTGAAGGCAATGGAGTAATTGAGACCGCTGATATACTCACTTTGTGTGGCACCGTCAAAACCGAAAGATCTAACGCGGCCACTTGGTGCCATAAAAAATTGCGTCGCTCCTTCTGGGGCTAAATTTTTCTGATTATTGTCACCTTTTTACTTTTAAGTACTTACCTAATAGTTTGAAATCAGTTTGGGCGTTGAAATTTTTATGCTTGGTGAAAAAATTTTGAGGTCCTGGACATTCCAATTGAGTTATCTTAATTTTCCAACGAGGGTTGTGTATAACGTTAGGGTCTTGTGTGATATTTCTGTTTGCTAAATGCATGTGTAATGTGACTTGTCTTTGTTTGTTTAAATGTACATAAACTAAAAAGAAATGTAAAATACTTTTCATGAAATTTTTTTTTTCACCATGTTGATTGTCATTATTGCCGCAGAAATATTCAGGAACGTAGTATGTTCGTGGGCTGACGGTCAAGTAGTCTGCGCGACAGATTCTGTGATAGACTTGGTTGGTTGGGTTGATGGGGGGAAGGGGGCGTCTTTCTGAAGGGGATAGTTGAAAGTTTTCAAAATCTATCCTAAAGATGAAAATGTGATTTAATGAATTTCAGAAGGATAAAACAACCTCATTTGGCAAATATTGTCATTTTCAACCTCTACAACATATTCACACTCTTCTACTACGTTCTCAGGATTGGTAAAATGAGACACTTTTGATCGAGTTCTACGCGAACAGTCCGTTTTTTCTGGAAAGTAATGTTGTAGTCTGAATTTTTTTAATGATGATATAAATACGAGTGCAACAGGTTGTAAAAAATCCACATTGTCCATTAAAATGAACTTGTCCTCCCGACAACAGACACTGAGTTTTGTGTTTGCAAGACCCCGTTATGGAAGTACCATCGTCGAGAATGACATTGCATGAGCTTTTGGGTGCAGTAATCGAATCTGCAAGACGTTTTATATCTACGATGGAGTTAATTAAAATAAACTCACCCTTGGTATGCCAGAGCAGCGATAAAGGATCGTCAACATCCGTCAAGTCGAAGAAAGCACAATTTGCACTCTTCACCAGAAGAAAAACGACTAAAGCAAGTCCGGCCATCGCACTTGGTTTTCAACTTTATTCTAATGAGTGCGCCATTCCGAGAGCCCTTTATATGCATCTCCACTCATCATGTTAACTTATTACTGAAAGTTTGTGTAACGGACATTTTAATGGGTGAACAAATATTTTTTCAGTACGCATGAAATTCTCTATTAAAATTCATGTAAAACCTGAACAAATAATAAAAGTTTGATGCAGTACGTGCGCCTGTGTCTTCCGCACGATCGGTAAATTAAAATTTTTATTTATTCACACGGACGCCAATTTAACTTTTAACCATATTTACCAAATCAAAGAAGTTTTCATGCAATACTTTAAGGGCTTCGCGGAAACACATTGCGAAACGAGAGTTTATCATGTAAATTAATTCGTTTCTAAACAGCTCCGCTGATGGATATTCATTGGTTCTTGCTGCAACTCGGGAACAGTTAGAAGAATGTGGAAAGTAAATTTAAAGAATTGTTTGTTCCGGAGCTTTTATTTATTAATTACACAAAATACAAAACGGCCAAACTCATAGTCGATTTTGATATTTACAAAAAATTACATACAGTTGGATAAACATCAACAACTACCCGCTAATTATTTGCCTTTTGTTCGCTTACTGTCAATAAAATACAAATTATAACAATGTAAATATTCTGCTAAAATAATACTATCCATAGTCTTTTAATTCATTTCATAAATATCTATTTTATAACATGTATGTTGAATATTTACAAAAACAACATTTAATTTCTGTAATAAGGAGGCCGCCCCATGCTGTAGGTACTCAAGGGGATTCCTCCGGACTGTTTGTATATCTCGTTCTGGTCATAGTCTACATCATAGTAAATACCACTTTGATTCTGAAACACACATCATTAAAAAGTAATTCATCTTTGCTAAAATCTTACAGCAATTGATGCATTGCTTCTGCTTTTGGGTCTAGGCACATGAAAATTCCTCCCCAGCAAATCGGCTTTATCTTCCTCTTCACTTGAACTCGAATTATCCAACGGCCTCATCCCGTGAACACTCGCAGCTCGATTAGCCATTTGTGCTTGTAAATTAAGTCTTGGCAAAGGTACAGGTGGTAAAGTCCCATGCATTGAACCATGCGGAAGAGTACCACTTAAATTAGGATAACCAAACATGGCACTTGATGGTCTTGTTGGTCCAGTTACCGGTTCCGGCTGCAATAAATAAATATTTGTCTTGCTTTTATCATTCGTATGAAAATTTACAGCATAATGATTGGCTTGGGCCATAACGTCGGCGATTTGAGCCCATCTCAGTCTATCTTCTAAGGTCAGTTGATACGGAGGTGCTCCTACGACCGGAGCCTTAACTGTGTTACTAGCAGTAGCCATGTAACCGAAAACGGGGCTACCAACAGCCGCTTTCTGCTCGCGGCTCCAACGACGGCTGAAATTTCACAATAAAGTCGAAATGAATGTTTGATGAGGAAAATCAATACCTCCACATGACCAAACAGACTAGAGTCAGCCCGATTATGATGACGGCTGCAACACTGGCTCCGATTGCGACTCCAAGAACCTCGCCATCAAGCTCGCATTGATTTCCGTAGTAGTTGCCAGAACATCTAATCTTAATTACAAAGATTGGTCATAGAAACAAATAACTTACATGCAAACTTCTAATCCATTTTGGTATTTGCACTCTCCCCTGTTGTTGCAGTGTTGAGCAGAACACTGTTCACAATGTCTTCCAGCTCTGTGCTTGTTATCAGCCCAAAGGTCTCTATACCCGTCGCCACATTCGCATCTAAAGCCCCCAAAAACATTGATACATTTAGCCAAAGCGTGACAATCGTGCAGTTCCGGTGATGAGCATTCATCCAAGTCTTGCAAATTGGAGATGGAGCCTGGAGGACTATCAACCCATAACGCACTATTACCGACATTGTTACTTCTCCTTTGAATGACCCCCAATAAGTGTTTTTGGATGTCTCCCCGAACTGACGATCTAGCAGTTTCAGCATTTTCGTCGAGTTGAAGAGTCAAGTTGACAAAAACTCCGGGCTGACCTGCTGACCTTTCACCTCGATAAATACTATTCACTTTTGCACCCAAAAACTCGTCGCTGAAAGGTGTCATCGACATGGCAGAGTCCAACTGTAAAAAAAATCAAATAGAAGAGAAAACTAAAAGGTCATAATTTGACTAACAGCTCTTTCGGCCTCATAAGCCAGTTGTTGATAACTCGTACTCGACTTATCGGCCAATTCGTTTGCCCAAACAATCCTCCTTTCGTACAAACGATCAACTCGCAATGATAAAAGCACTGAAACGATTTTCCTGCAAGGTTCGCGGTGTTTTCTCCTGGCATGTCCTGGGCGACAATGACAAGCGCTGACGCCAGCCTCCGTCTTGCACACTTCGTGTTGCGACCCATCACAAGTCGAATCGTCACCCACTATGCAAGTGTCGATCCGCACAGGTGGCTGGCTGGGTCGTGGTCGGCCATAAATGGGCCTCCTTTGCGTCGGTTTCACTTGGCCCAGATTCGGTTTGGGTTTTTCGTCGACCACGGCGTAGCCCGTTCCAGTGACTTGGTTGTTGGGAGGTGCACTAGGCTTAATGACTGGAGCCGCTGAAGTTAGTGACACACTTCCATCGCCGAAAAGGTTCAAGTAGGTGCGTTTGCCGTCGATGGAAACGAAGCCTTCGTCACCCACTGGGCTAGTGATGACATCACCACCCTGGCCTAAATTATGCACGTTGTCTAAGTCGACTATAATGGAGATGGTAAATTGGGATCAAAGAGGGGTGGCACTTACCTGAGATAATGTAAGGCTTGCCGTGGTCGGAGGTCGAGCCACCAGGGCCTTGAATCGCGGAAACTGTAATATCGAAAATGTCGCCCAGTTGGCCGATGGGTGGACGGGTCAGAATGGGTTGGCGGTGGGTGCCCCCGGGTTTGTACTCGGTGTCATCGAGAACTATGCCGGGACGGGGGCGGTAGGGGTAGTAGGGAAAACCTTGACTTGACGTTTTATTATCTGTAGCTAAGCAATTCAGTAAAAATTAGAAGCAAATACAAAAGAATAAAACTATAATAGAAAAATTCTAAAAAACATTTTTCTCATTTTATCACATAAATTTGGAAAAAGAAGGACAAAAAGAATATTGGATTTATTTAAATAAATCATAAATTAGAGAGTACTCACAAATAGACAATAGTATATTAAAAAACAATGTTACAAATGCACGATTATCACAATTAGAGGTTGTAACACTCGTCCTTTAAACTATTTTTACTATTGAGCGCTTTTTATATTGAATTTATTATTATTATAGACAGTTAAAATACTTGACATTTTAATAGCTTAAATTACATTAGTTTGGCTGAAATACCTCAAACTGCAACAATTTCTCACTTAAAAACGATTGCATAAAATGTTGCCAGTGTCACAAAACTGCGTTTTTTCTATTTTTTGTGTCTGAAAGAAAGCTTATTTCGATACCAAAACCGATGTCTTAATGATCCATTTCAATACCAATTTGGGTGCTGTAATAGTCTAGTACAATTTACTTTCTAGGATTTGGTAATGGTGATTTTCAGCCGCGTTTTGAACGATTTCTCTTATTTCAGGTGTTGTGCATGAAATATTTGCAGAAGTCATTGTAATTTCAACAAAATTTTGAAAAATATTAGAGACTTGACACTTCGAAAATCGAATTTTAAACTTTGTGGCATTATTACCAACCACCACCTTATTAGGGCAAAAGATCCAAAATTTTGAAAAATTGACTTTTATGTTAAAAAGTTTCCAAAACGCCCAAAAATAGAAACAAAGCATATAAAATAGCTTCGCTGCTCGTTTCATAAACCTGAACTGGTTCCACAAAACTTGCCTTAAAAAACGCTTTCTTTAATATACTGTTGTGTACTGTTTTCAGTTACACAAAATGCTCATTGTGACACCGAAATAGAAAAATCAATTTTTACTTCAGTTTTATTTTTTGCTCCGATTTTTTTTGGAAATTGAACCCTACATTTTTTGAACTAAACATAAACTTTGAAGTGTAGATTATTAGATGCCATTAGATTGGTTTTTTTGTTCTTTTAACATGAAATAGGTCACAAAAATGTACCTTCTGCATAAAATAAGAATATGTGTTATAACTGGTGGACCCTAGTAACAAATTTAGAGCCAAGAGATAATGAGTCTGAAAAGTGACATCATTTTTACAGAAATATCAGAAAGTTCGCCAAAATTTTATTTAACTTATTTCATAGTCAAACTAAAATCTCACATTTTAAACCAACATTGATGTAACACTTTTTAATTCTTTTATGAAATGGACCTTAATTGTTAAAATCACTACAAGGGGCCTATGGCGTTTTTTATTCCGTTTTCAATGACATCTTGTTTTTATTTAGAATTTATAGAAAGTAAAAATTAGCCCTAGAAGTATCTACTCGTAATTTTGATTAACTAATATTTAGTTGCAATTAAAACTTTACTTTCGGAAACTGTCGCTTTTTATATAAATAATAATATATATAATAAATACCTGATGCTAAATTAGTTTGTAAGCTGGCCTCCGTAACGCTTTTTTCGGGTTTCGATGAAGAAATTTTGGGCAATTGTTCAGTTGGAGTGCTTGATAGAGTTGTTGAAGTCAACAAATCTTCCTTCAGAGTTTGCAAAACTTCTTGAATTGAGGATTCCAACACTGGAGTCACTTCACTTTTTATGGATGACACTGTACTGTTTGTGACATTTGTCGACAAGGCTAAACTTGTTGTTTGTGTACTAGTGGTAGAAAAAACGCTTGTTGGTTCTATAGTTGCTGTACTAGTTGAAGAAATGCTGGAGGATGTTGATGACAAGATTGGGATTAAAGTAGACGTTGAAGATATTTGATCTTCGGTGGTTGATGTTGATGTGGAAGTTGAAATAGGGGTCGTAGTTTGGGACTTGCTAGTTGCCGTAGTTTTCGTGGTCGAAGACGAATGTTTATTCATCTTCGACGTGCTTTTCTCTTTATTCTTTTCAAAATCAGTGATTTCCTTATCGTTAGATTGCGCACTACTTTCATTCGAGTTAGTAAAAGTCTGATTGCTTTTATTTTCCTCATAACCGTCGTAATTAAGTTCCTCTTCGGTGGGTTGCAGCTGCGACCCCAAATCCAGCGTTAAAATGTCCTGAATGGGTTTTTCAGTCGTCAAACTGATAGCATCGGAGTTAATCGGCGGCATTGGTTTGTACGGCGGGATGGGTCTCCGACTCGGCGGTTTTCTCCTATTCCAGGGCGGGATCGTAACGGGCCTATAAAGCCCCGGCCTCTTAACCGGCGAAGTATTATGCGGCGGAATATCAAAAGGATAAGGCGTGGGAATTCTTGTCGAAGTGACTGGCGGCGGTTTTTGGCCAAGTGGCGGCGGCGGCAGCGGCGGCGCGGGGATATCAAAATCGGGCGGCAAAGCAGGCACGTCAGTAATCCTCGGAGGGCCTCTGTTGTTTATCCGTGTTGACAACGGCCGCAAAGGCCGGCCCCCCATTACCGGCGCCGTGTTTGCTTGCACATTGACATTACCGTTGAGCAGTTTTACAATTCCGGTGATGATGTCCTGGATGTCAGGGTTGGCTTGTCGTCCTTTCGGGAGGGCGGTAGCAGTAGTCGCCGGAACCGTGGCAGTCGGCGAGATCTCCTGGGGCTCCTTCAAGGACCGGCCTTGAGGAGCCCCCGAGCCTTCCCCCGAGAGGACGGTCTGCTCCACCTCACTCCGGTGGTGGTGTTGGTCAGTCTTGGAGGGATTTATGTTGAGGACGCGTCCGGACAACTCCACGTCGTTGTTGTCCAGGGATTCCCCCACGTTTTTGTACGTTAGGAAACTGTCAACGTCTGTACGTGATAAGATAGGGTCGGGCGACCGTTTGAATTTGTGTGGCTGCGAAGATATCGTCGATGAGGTGACCAAAATGATATCAGGAGCGGAAGTGCGAGCTCCTGATTTAATTTCCTCAATTTTTGAGTGCGAGTCTCGAGCGGAGTTCGGAGAGATGAACGAGTTGGAATAATCGTCCAATCCTGGAAAATCAATTAACTGTAATTAAATGTCTGTTTCTTACGTATTTTTATTGTACCGTTAATACCGTTATTAATGACCTAAGGCGTGTCTTGCGATTTACACGCGCTGAATTGTTATTTTTGCCAAATAGAATTTAAATTCTGCGCTAATGTGTCAATTAGCAATGCCATTAATTGCTGCTCAATCAAATTAAAACAAACGGTGGAGACCATAACGAGGGAAAGAATTATTGTTTATGCTCTCATTAACACGAGGTGCACTTGCGGTCACTAAAAATCATCATTTTCTAATTAATTCCTCCGCGGAATGTACTGTTTTGATAAAATCGTCCAATGTGAAGGAATTTCATATGCGTAACCGTTAGAGGTCAAGATGATCATGCGGTTCATCAATTCTGTTACGCAATATTAAATTTGAGCTTGAACTTGGTACAAAAGACTTGAAACAAATCCGGTTAAAGCAATCTGATCAGTTTCATTTTTTCGTAACCGCGTATCGAATTGTAGTTCTTTTCAATTCAGATTCATTATTTCTCGAGTTCAAGTACCTTTTTGTTTTGCACCAACGTTATTATTTTTAGGCATGTATTGATGTTCCTGCATTCATTTTACGCTTCAGTGTCTTTCTAAATTAATATTTGTGCATAGCTGAGGATTTTTCGAAGCGGGAGGCTTCACATATTTGTGGCCACACCAGAATTAACGGAGAATTAAATTACCGGGTAATTATTTTGACTTTGAGATTTGGGGCATTTAATTGGGTGAAGGAGCCGAGTCACGACTAAGAAATTTCTGACATATTTCTGTTTTCTTAATCTAAGAGGACAATGAAGCGGTCAGGGCAGGATTTACTTCAATTAGAGCTCCTCACGCAATATAATAGGCGGTAAATAAATCACCAACAGACCCCAGTCTCTCCCGTGCAATTAATGGAGCGTTATAAGAGAAAAGGAAATAAAGAAAGCGATCATGACGCGTGTTTTCGGTTATGTTTTAATTTAATGTGGAACCGAAGTGGAGTTTTTTATGTCGATTGTCGCTATTGTTTGGGATTAAGGCCGATATTTTTCCTTTATTGCGCTTTCACCGATCATTCTCATTTCGTTACTTGCATGTAATGAGTACCCCTATGAACCGGATACATAAAATTTTATTTCAGCAGTGAAATTTTGGCCGGGAAGCCCACACACGCTTTCACAATGATGACACATCCCAAGTTCCGTCTTTACCTTCAATGAAGACGAAAGCCAGGAAGAGGAAAAGCCCATGCTTCAGTGCAAACCTAGGTGTAGCCATTTTGTCACAGTTCAATCACATCACACCACATTTAGCCGGTCTAATCAACAACCCCCGCAACTTAATCCCGATAACTCACTCCGGGGGTCATCTCCGACCCCGTGACCGCACCAACACACGTTATGTTAATGTTTTCTTCGAGAAGAACAATGAAACCGGCCGTGAGACACGGTTGTGTTTGTCAGAAACGGCTATTTAGGTCATCCGGAGATGTAATTGTTCAAATCCACCATAACACCCATCAAAGCACTAACTTTCTTTTTCTGATAAAGCACTGTTTTTACCCTTCTATGGGTCACTTTTCCCCCGAGCGTCCCATTGAACCTATTTCCAATGGAATTATTTCGCAACAGTGTTTGATGACGATGCACAACGTTTCTTCAGAAGACTGGTGAAATAACGGGACGCGTTGGTGAAGAACACTTGAGTGTATTCCTACCTTGTTCAAAAGGTATGTGGCTCGGTTTTACGACAGGTGGGGCCCGAAAGAACCGGGGAAGGTGAATAAGTCGATGACTGATGGAAAAACATCAATTTTTGTTGGTATGCACAACGCGTGCTAGCAGGAATTAAAATCCAACAACTAATTATGTATGAAACAATCGGCGCAGGTGTTGGGGGACGTTACTTTCCAAAATTGCTGTCTTTACCCGAAGTGAAGCTTATTTAATAATCAATTGCTTCAAAGTGACATGCAGACGTTGTTATTGTTTTATTTCTTGAAAGCGTGACGTCCGCGTTCTGTATTGCAGGATGCTAATATCGGATAAGTTTTGCGCAGACTTTCTGCAAATAAAGCGACACATGGAGAAAGTTTATTTTGTTTTGGAATTGTACACCAATTAAAATAATTAAACAATGAAGAAGAAGTGTGTTAACCACCGGTTTCATTCATTAAAAATTATTTGGGAAAGATTTATGAAGATAAAACGTCAACTTTTCAAAAATTGCCTCAATTATTCTTCTTGGATTTGTCAGCATTCCTGCTTTTTACGACTGGTGTATTTACATATTAAAACTTAAGCAAAAGAAATTCAATGAAACCAATACTTCTGCCCTCGAGCGGGTTTTATTACTTTTTTTGTATAGCAGCAAAATTGCGCTTATTGCATCGTTTTAGTTTTATTTTTTATTACATTAAAGGCAAGAAAATAAACTCTGGTGAATATTTCAAACCGTAAAATCTCCTTTTATTGTGGAACATAGACCGAAAATTAACGTTTTGTAGAAAGGATAACGATGGTAATAATTGTTAACTCATAATAAATGATGGATTACGGTTTTTACCGGAATTAAATTGCCCCTTTTGTGTATAACACACGAAACAATAGAGAACACATCTGTCTCAAGACTGAGTTAAATCATTTTCAAACGACAATAAGCTGTGTGAATCAATATAGGGGACCGTTATAGCATAAATAAAACACAAATCACGCTATTTAAGTTTATATTTCATTTCGCTGTACCTTAATAACTTTTAGTTCTGTTACAATAATATTTGTGTAATAAATTGAAAATTTTTTTTTATTGCCTAACAGATCCATAATTGGTACCACATCAAACCAACTGTACTCAATAATTTTTTAAATTGAAGAAAATTATCCACACCTGTCAACTGTAATAAAATAATGTTGAATTCTCATAAATAAATTTTCGGCAGGGGATTCGAGTGCTCCAAAATTGTGAATAAACCACAAAATTGTTAATTTTTTGTTTAATTATCTTGTGATAATAAGATTTTGGTATTTTAACTAAAACTTATTTGTAGGTTAGTATGTTTTAAGTAAAATAAGCGATTGTTTAATAAAGATACGAAAAAGAAGACAAAACAGTTGCTTCAATAAGAAAAAGGAGTGCTTACTACGTGCTCAAAAACAACATAAAGAACGAATTTATGTGCTTTTAATATAAATTTTACTCTATCAAAATAAAAACAAAAATATACTGTCATGTGAATTTTTTTAAATTTGGAGAAAATATTGTGTAAAATGAAGCAATTTACATCAACAGCTAATACTTTACTTTTGATTAATATTAGTTAAAAAAATATTTCTTAGATAGTTCAGATTTAAGGGAGAGTGGGGTCCTTATGCGTATCCACCTTTCTGTAGCTTTTCCTAAATATTTTTAACCAAAATTATGTATCTTGCTATTTAGTTTTACACGTTATACTCGTAATAGTGTCCATAGATTTCTGCACTTTCAAAACCTCACTAAAAAAATTACTCCCTAGACATTTTACAGCTCTTACGTTGTCATTTTCATATCGTAGAAAATAGGTGATAATAAGCAGAAAATGTAAGTTACATCACTAAATCATATGTCTTTACAAATTCTGTTCTTTATTTTATGTGTTTCAGGTTCCATTAAGTTGCTGAATACAGATTTTAACTTTTGGGATATTTTCAAATAATTTACTGTATAGTATAGTCGGGTAACTGGACGCAAGTGTGCAATATTTTTTATATTCTTTTTTATAAAGTTGTTTTTAATTTTTATTACAAAAATTGATTACTGTTAATTTCATAATTTTTATAGATTTGCTTCTAAGCTTAAATTACATTTTGTTTAAAAATACTTTGTAATTTTCTTTTCTAAACTCCAACATTTTTCATAAGTCTCATTATTATACGTCACATTATTACTCACACGTGCGAGTAATAATTCTAATGCACTTTACTTAAATTTTTATTTAGGTATGTCTCAATATATGTGATGCACTTAATTTTCTTATCAAGTCAAGTTTGTAGCTAACATATGAAACTATCGATAGCCAAAGTCACAAAGAAAAATATGTTTCATGATTACAGCAATATTTCCTTTAGGTCCACACAATCCATTCTCCCCTAGGGTTAAAGTATAAAAAAGCTAAACCTATTTTAGAAAACATATCACCATATCAACACCAATTTTTATATTTAAAAACGTTAAGGCATTATAGTAGATATCTTAAAAACGTTTACAAAAAAAATATTTTCTTGACAAATGTAAAGAAAACTAAATAATATAGCAGGTGAGTAAGAACTGGAAACACGTTTTTTGCTTAAACTATTTATTTCAAAAAATTAATTAATGAATGATGAAGTATATACTATGGAAATGTGAACGTTTCTCAAGAATAAAATTTTTCGAAATTTTGTTTGGTTTTTGAGTTCTGCAAAATTTTTAATGTTTTCAAATAACAACTCACTATAAAACTTTTTTTACAAAAGCTCTGATCTCACTATCAATTATACATTTTATTTAATTTTTGTTGAAAAAAAATATTTTGTTCCTAAAACACGCTTTTATAGCATTCTAATTTTAATTAATCATTATTTTCTGATGGTAAATGATTTAAAAAAAAACTCTTGAGTCTCATACTTTTTAGTCACCTTGTATAATAATAAATTAGGACGTTTGAACACTTTTCTTATATTCATTTCATTTTTTATTGGACAGATTAGCACTAGTTTACTATAAAAAAAACAATACAAATTGAAAAAAAATATTGTAAATGTAGAAAATCGAAAATAAATATCGTTTCGTTTACAAAATTTAAGCCTCCAAACAGTACACAAGCTGAAGCGCAGCCGGCGATCACCGTTTCTTTTACAGTAGAACATGTTAATTCGACCTTTTCCCTATCAGACATTACATGCACGACTTAAGATGTTCAACTTCAAAACATGGCGGCGACGAACATGTGTCTTGTTTTGCCGGCCTTAAGCCACGTTCACGCGACTCGTAAAAGCGGAACTGGATTACCAGATTTTTACGAATATCGTAAACTGTAGGCCATCCTTGACTAACAATAATTAAATTCGTCACAAAGAAGAGTCTGTCGTTCAGTTACAACGAATGAAGCGTTTCGATACAGAGCAAACAAATCTTTCGGGTTTTAATCAGTTTCCGTGGAAAAATCAAATAAATTTCTAAGTATCCTATGCCTTTGAAATTAAGTTGGCAATATAAAAGTCACATTTTCATAGTCAACTGGGATTTCCGAGGGGCAACCAATGGCAAAGCCGTCATCTGACAGTCTAATACCACCAATAATCTGCAATTCGGTGTCGCCAACTTAATTTGAAAATCACGGATCACTTTGATCGAGAACTTGTTTTGAAACCTGGACACAAAAACTAAGAAAACTACCGTGTAATCAAAAAAATTGAGTAGGCGACAATTAATACTCTACAGTTGGCAACACGTTGACTGGGAATCTGGGCTGGAAATTTTCCACACAAACTGAAAGTGAAAATGACCATTCACCGTTTTCGTCTTGTACAGCATTTTTGTAGTAACTTGCAACAATAAAAATTTTCTGCTCAAAAGTGAACATTATTTTCCTCAAAAAAGAATAAAACGCAAACTTGAAGGACTTCAATTACCGCCTACTCTAATTTATTTATTTTTTGATCGCACGGTGTAGAACCAAGTTTGCAGAATCACATTTTTTTTACTAGATTCAAAATGTGAATAATTAATTTCAATACAAATGATATAATTAATAAAACGAGAGGAGGAAGTAAAATGTTGCGCTGCCGCCAATGCTTCTTTGCGTTACGGCATGTGAGTCGGCCTTTAGCCGTCCAATGGCTTTTGAACCGTCACCCTCGAGTAAACAGAAACTTAACTAACAAAAGTAGCAACAGTTGTGGTTCGTTGTGTTGTGATAAAAATTCTGTACGTTACTAAAATTATAATTGTTCATATTTTACAGTACTTTGAAACTCTTGTCAGTAGTGTAGTGTATGAGAGTAGAACACATCTCTTCCAAAACTTCTTCACGTTACAATTTTATTCAAGTATCATTCATAATCTCAGTTAAAACCCAAAGTCGCTCATTTCATTCACCGTAAATATCCGTTCAATGCCCTTAAAACATAAATGGGAAGTGTGTGGGAGCTGTCCATTTAAATTTTAAATGTTTCAGCAGAAATTCTAAACCATTCCTAACCAATTAAAAAAATTGCAACAGTCACAACTTTTTTAAATCATGTAAGTGGGCCCCCACGTGTCACTCTTATCCAACAAATAGCCAGCTTTGGTCTTGAAACATTAATAACACCACCAGTCCACTCCTTTAACTAATTTTGGGTTATTATTTCAGTGATGAGTCAAGAAGGATGCGTCCAGAAAAGACCCTTTACGATGAAATGGACAGTATAGGTCGAGGTTTGAACAAAATCAAAACCTAACCACACTTTTCCTAAAAATCACTTTCAAGGTGCTTACGGGATTGTCTACAAGGGAAAGCACAAAACCACCGGCAAGATCGTAGCCCTGAAAAAAATCTGCGTGCCTTTAAACGACGATGGGGTCCCCATGAACACCCTTAGAGAGATCGGGGTCCTCAAGCAACTCAACTCACATGAGCACCCCAACATTGTACAACTCCTAGATGTCTGCCATGGCATTCAAACCGAACGCGAATTATTAATGTATTTAGTATTTGAACACGTGGACCAGGATCTCGCCCTCTACATGGAGAAATACGCCAAACGTGGGGGCTTCTCATCTTTGCAAATTCGTAACATGTCTCAGGAAATTCTCAGAGGTGTTGATTTTTTACACAGTAATAGGATAGTGCATAGGGATTTAAAGCCACAAAACTTGTTAGTGACCAATGACGGTCATATCAAAATTGCCGATTTTGGGTTGGCCAAAACTTATGATTTTGAAATGAGGCTGACCTCGGTTGTTGTTACTTTGTGGTACAGAGCGCCTGAAGTATTGTTAGGAGTGCCTTATGCGACACCCGTGGATGTGTGGTCCATCGGGTGTATCATAGCAGAGCTTTTTAGTTTAAAACCGTTGTTTTATGGCAGTTCTGAAAGTGACCAATTGAGCAAAATTTTAAGGTTTGCAAGTTTTATAACTTTGAAGCAGTATTTATTTAGGTGATTTTAGAATTCTGGGGAAGCCACCTCAGCACGACTGGCCTGATAACAGTGTCTCCATCAGCTGGGACTCTTTTGATAACACGGAACGAATCGATTTTAAAGAAATCATCCAAAATTTGGATGATAACGCACATGATTTGCTTACAGTAAGTTATTTTGTGTATGTTATCATGGGTATCTCTATTTTATCGTCGAAATTTACAGAAAATGCTCACGTTTGACCCTAAAAAAAGAATGAGTACCTTAGATGCCCTCAATCATGTCTACTTTACTGAAGAACCAATTTAATTCTGCATCTTTTAAAGATGTATTAAACAAAAAGACGCCATCATTCCATATTTTGGGAACAACGTATTATTCTTGTATACCTTTTACACATATCATAAAAGTTGTTCATATTTTTGATAACTTTAAGTAACATTTGCTAGCATTTCTCAAAAATAAAATAGTTTTATACAAAACTGTTCACATTCGCATGATTTCTTCTTATAAGTCGTTAGTTAAACCTCTTCCTATCCTTTAAAAAGCATTTCATTCTATTATAACAACTTTAAAGAAACAAAGTCAAACTTAAGTAATTTTTGTTTTTTTTTATAAGAAAACGTTAGTTTGTATAGTCGGCAACACGCCATGCAAAAGTGTATTGGGGGTTGCCTATAATCCGACCTTCGAAGATCTACAAAATGTAGATTTGTGATTTTCACAGTTTTTCAACATTTTAACACGACTTTTTACTTATACAATAAACGGTTACTTGTTTGTTAATAATAATTTTGCACTGGAATTATTTTCGACTTAATTAATTAAATAATTATATTTTATTAT